TAAAAGCGAAGTCTTTGTAAGTTATATCCCATAATAAAAATTTGAATTTGAATTTGATGACCGCGTTCAATGAAGGGGAATTTCTCACAGAATTTTGAAAGTGACACCGGTATTTTATAGATACATTTATAACAAACTTGTAAACAATAGTGTTATTTTTGTGTTTGTAAAAAATAGGTTATGTACGTTTGATAACGAATCACCATAGTATTCTCGATGCGGTAGTCCATTTCCCTCACTAGGAGGCTGGTGTACTGTGATGATGTGTGCCCCTCTGTGACCCAAACTGCAACACAATATTGTTTTTTATCAAACCAGAGATCGGATCACGCCTGGAAGGTCAAAGAGTAGAGGTCAAGTGAACTTTGGTCTGTTATTCCTTCAGGTTGAGAAGTTGACTCGTGCCGGTAAAAATGGAGGAAAAATCGATCCTAGTAGATTTGCCTCCATTTCACGTTACTCACTGCGTTTCTGCTGGGATCTCGTCGAAACAAAAGGTTTTGTTTGATAACGCCAATTGTATACTTACCTATTATTTTGACTACCTCGCAGCACCCCTACATCCAACTCCAGTGAATATAAAAGCTTGGAAGATATCAATAACATTCGCTTCACTATAGCTCGCTGTGTAATGATGATGCATCGATTAGTGAGTGGTGTATAAGAACACGGAATTGAGAATGATAACTCATTTGGGGAAAGAGACATTCTAATGACCAAGTTTGACGAATAAATGAACATACGTACGCTTTTCGAGTGATACGAATGAATTCTGGGTCTATTTTGCCGTTGTTGAGAGAGACGAGTTTCTTCATCACTGCATTCAAAGGAGGATAGTTTAAGAAAACTCCACTTGGTCCGAGGTGTCACTGTGGATGTGATTTGCAGCTTATTTCTCAAAACAACGATGTTTCTCGGATGTCCGTTCTTTTTTCTTCTTCAGACCATGGTCTTCAAAGCTCTAACAACCGCGCTCAAGCTAAAGTACGTTTTCATTACTCTATTTGTCAGTTGCTCTTCTTCCCCTCTCCTCCTTCACTGCATTTTCTGTTTCCTTAATTGTGGGTTCGGGACAACACAACAGCATCGAGACCACGAACAAGTAATGCAAATTTCTGAATGTTAATGTCAGTTGGGAAGGTGTGACGATTATGAACACCAGAATTGCAAACGGTTCAACCCTGACGTCTATCGACATTCATATTTACAGAACAGCTCAACCATAGCAACTACATTGGCTTTCTTTCGGAGCAATTTACAGTAGTCAGCGAAAATCAGGATAATTGATTGAACACATTGGTTGCTTTCACCTCCGGGGATTATTAACTACTAAATCAGTGGATGGGTTCAGTGCTCACTTCACCCTGTTCTTCTCTGGTTGATCGTGCTTAACCTGCAATCGATGAATGCGCATTTGTGAGTGACTGTGCATTGTTAATGGGCATCTATCTATTCCACAACCAACGAGTCACTTTATTCAGTTCATTAAGCACATGCATAGCTCACTAAAGTACGCCAACAGAGATAACTACATAACCGGTTACTTCTTCATCACCTTTA